ATTGCTGCAGAGGTAAAGAGCTATGAGCCAGCATTTGGCTCCAAGGTTTGTGAGCAGCCCTGTGTGGATAGCATGAGAGATCTGGTGTTGAGAGACCGAGGACGTCCGGACATCCCACTAGCATGGACGCAGCACCAGGTCAGTAAAAATCATGTAGAGACACAGACAAACTGAAAGTTTAGGCTTAAGGCTACTGTCAACTGCCCACTCACAATTCAGCCAATCATATACCAGGGAATTCATTTTTTACATGGTTTATTTCAGGGTGTAAAAACTCACAAATCAATTACAAAGATATTCAAAATGTGCCTAATCGTGACCAAATCAGATTGTAAGAGTTGCTTGTTACAAGCTTATAGTCATCACTGTCTTCAAATGAAGCCTTTGGATCTAACGCTGATCTTCTTTAGGGGATGAACATCTTCTGTTCCACCATCACTGAGTGCTGGGATCACGACCCCGAGGCCAGGCTCACGGCTCACTGCGTGGTCGAGCGCTTCAGCGCCCTGGAGCAGGCGGAAGATGACGACAGGGTGGGAGACGAAGAAGACGAGGAAGAAGTAAGTCAGGAGTAAGAAGACGAGGTGAAACTCTGGCAAGAGAATGAAGCAGAGAGAAAAATAGACTTGGAGACGCCTCATGCTCCGTCTCCTCGAGGAGAGGAGATCTCTTTTCTTCCAGATTGAAAAGGAGGACATGCCTGAGGTTCACTGCTTCACACTGGTTTTCCCCCTAACGAGTCTTCATGGTTCGCTGTGTTTGCATTGTCGGAGAAACACGTGTTTTTTTCTGCTAATCTTCAATGAGACACTGATAGAGAAGGAATTGTTAAGTCACTAAAACTGACAAGAATCTAAACTACAGTTACAGTTAAAGCAGTTTTTGACTGATAGTTAGGATTATCTAATTTGCCACAATAAGGATATTCAAAAAGTCAATATTAGCAAGAGTGGACCACTTCATAGACATTGCCCCAGTTTGCTCAGATGGAAGTTTAGCTCAGTCTCAACAGATGGGAATGGACCACTGGTGCAGACTGGAACATCTCAACATGGAGAGGGGTTTTACACAAACTTTTAAACTCACAGTCGTATAGTCTGGAGAATCTTTAGGTAGTGTTATCTTTCTCAAATAAAATGTGAAGAAAAGAAATTTTCCCACACGAATATATAAATAAATAGAACAAAATGGTCCAACATATAGTATGACAAACCTTTATATGAACCAAAGAATAATTCATTGTTGTGCAATTTGGTTGAACTTCTATACCAGCAACCCCATGACTGCACTGTTGCCATTTTATATTGACTTCTAGAGGGACAATCATAAAGAAAAGAATGGCCCCAAATTTCATGTTTTTTAGACTGTACATTTTCTGAGATATTTCAAGCACACCCACTCTTGGTGCCATTTTTACCCCTTTGCTTTGTCGTGTAGTGATCTGGCACTGCGAACACAGCCGTTGTCACCCAACAGAGGGATTTTGTTTATTACGAATTTGTGTGTTTTCTCTTTGTTGCTTCCTGGATGTTTCCAGCAAAAGACCAGAGGAGACAGAAATGAACCAAAGACTGACTGTGCCTTAAACGACAGACCTACTTCTTCGCAAACGTTTGCTGAGGATGTGACACCCGAATCAGTCATAGATCTGCTGGCAGTTGCTGATCGCTGAACAGTTTGAAAAAGATTTGATTTGTTGGAGCTGGTCTCCATTTTGTCACGGTATTATTCTTTTATACTGGCTGTGACATGTGACTTATCATTGCTATACTATAACCTACTACTGTAGGTCATGTGACTATAACCTACATTTATGAATAAACAGGAGAGAAAAATCTTTTTCCTGGTTTTATGTTTGTTTGATAAAAAAATCGTAAAAAATAAATTTGACTTTTTTCATCTACACAGTTTCATCCCTTGGTGTATTTTCTTCTTTTCAATTACTTCTCTGAAAGACATTACTATAAATGCTAATAATATAAACTTATCTGCCACTCAATTCTATACATCTTGCTATCACTGGTTTGAACTCCTTTTTTGCTGTTTGAGTGGCCTCATATGGATTTAAAATAAGATTCTCCGAGGTGCTGGAAACATTTCTCTGAGATTTTGGTCCATGTTGACATGACAGCTTAAAAATAACCTACACACCATTACACCACCAGCAGAAGCCTAAACCGTTGATACAAGGGAGGATGGAGCCATGCATTTGCATTAATTACACCAAATTTCACAGCAGAAATTGAGACTCAGACCAGGGAATTTCTTTCCAATCTGGTGCTTGACTTTGGTGAGCCTGTGCAAATTGCAGTCCCAGTTTTCTGTCCTTTGCTGACAGGAGTGGCACCTGGTGTGGTCTTTTGCTGTTAGAACCCATCTGCTTGTGCTTTCAGAGATGCTCTTCTGCATACCTTGGATGTAACAAGCGGTTGCTTGAGTTACTGTTAACTTTCTATCAGTTTGAAGTGGTTTGCCTTTCTCCTCTGACCTCGGGCTTTTTGGCTTAAAGAACTGCCTCACACTGGATATTTTTTATTTTTCAGACCATTCTCTGTGAGCCCCGGAGAGGCTCTGTGGGAATATCCCAGTAGATCACCAGTTTATGAATTACTCAGACCAGCCTGTCTGGCACCACCAAGCATGCCACATTCAAAGTCACCTCAAATCACATTCTGATGCTTGTCTGTATACTTGAAGGCATTGAGTTCCTGCCGTGTGATTGGCTGATTAGATTTAGATTAGATCAGACATTTGCCTTAATGAGCATGTTATATACCCGAGAGTAAGGGCTACGGGACGTGGAATAACAATGGTATAACAGGGAAAAGAAAAAGCCAAGCAGAACAAATTGTGAAAAACTACGTTTAAATTAATAAAGGAGTCAACTCAAAAAGTCGGCAACACCGCTATTTCAACTAAACAAACGACATCCACAAACTAAAACACACCGAGGAAAGATAAAGGAGATGATTAACCAAATTAAAGGTTCACTTCTGCTACCAGTGGATACCAGCTACTCATTAGAAGCTCAAAGAAAACAAAGTTTCATTAAGACAAGCTGAATACACCACTAATGCTCACTAAGAGGGGTCCACACACTGACTGAGCTGCTCTTTAGTAGCCAGCTGTGCACTGGCTCCTCAGGAGGGATGGATGGCAGCTGAGCTCCTGAATGACAATCTAGTGTCTAAAAACCTATATGTTGAAAAACAATATAGTGTTGTTCATTATAAAAAATAAAGTTTTAAAACTTTTAAAACCATTTTTATGGTGGATACAAAGCTAAGTAACAATGTTTCTAGCTTGTTTCTATCTGACAAAAGATATTCCACCTAAAGATAATGCACCATATATAATAAAAATGATTATTTGTTTGAATTATCTATGTTCTGTTTTAGCCTACATTTGTTTACACTGAAAAAAAATATGCTCATTAGCCAGCAGAAGTTGTTGTGTACCTGTGAATGTAAAGATGAAATCCATTTTACTACTGGCTAAAAAACAAAAATTAAATGTGATGATTCAGAAGTAAGTTCTTCCACTTTCTGATCATTTCTGAACCTTTTTAAAAAAAAAAAAGAATTAATGTTTGTTCAAATTTAGGAATGAACACTTCATACGCTATTTCATCCTAGTTTGTTTATAAAAGAATAAAAATCTGTTGATTCTGTTTGTTGTGGGAGACAAGAGACAAAGATCGAATAGGTTAGATTGCTTTCACAAAGGAAAGGGAGAGTAAGTGTCGCAGGATTGTTAGGGATAAACTAACACAGACATTGATCAACAAACGTATAAAATATAAAATGTCAGAAAATATTGAAAATATACAGTGTGTATATCATCATATCCTTACCAAGCAATCCTTTTGAAGCTGGTGCTTCTGTAGATTTATGCTTTCTTATTTTTTCTTTTTTAACCATAATGAAAATGCAAATCTCCAACATCACAGAAGAAACAAATGAAAGGGAAGCTGAAAACCACAAAAACTTTACAGCAGCATTTTATGGGTTGGGCTGGGCACTGAGATGGTTTTGGAGCCGGCTAAGCAAAACAGAATTTTTCATTAAAGCCTGAAAAATACAATAACCATAACACATGAGAAATAAATACCTATTACAATGAAAGAAACGATCACTTAACATAAAAAAACGTACCAAATATGCATGTTTTTGGTGCTACAATTTGACTTAAAATGTTCTGTTAAAATGAAAATTTTAAGTCACTACCATGTAACACTGGAGTTTTCCACCTTCCTAACAGAGTGAAACAAGAGCTAATACAATCAAACAGACACAGGGTGGATTCTCATTAGCTACAGCGATCAGAGATGGTCTAAGTGTAAGCCATGATGGGCATTCAGATGTAATCACATTTACCTCATGTGTCTGATGTTTTGGTGCCACAGAGCGTGGGAACACAGCATCACATGGTGGAAAAAGTGAAAAGCTTTACAGACCTGCCTTAAGAAAAGAGGCAGGCATTAACTTTGAAGTGAAGGGAACCATAATGAACCTAACCCATTTTCTTCAAATTTTTGGTTAAGCATGATGTCTTCACAATTCACAAGAATAATACCCAAAAGTTTTTCTTAATTTTTTTTTCTCCCATGTCCCTTGCGGGGCTCCGTAAAATTATGTCTCAAGTACATTTTTTAGACGGATTCTAACTTTTATGGATTTGTGAATCTGTATCGCTGCTATAAATAATTAAACTTATGAAAAATATTGTATATAATAAAAAAATATTATACAAGCTTTTAAAGCAAATGCCTTTCTAAACTCCGCACTAAAAAAAAAATAAAACGTTGTTATTTATTTCCTTTGCCCCTTTGAGAGAGGAAAAAGATGTACCATATCTGTTGAATATACCTCATCCTACTAAAATATGATCTTTGGAGCGCTGTCTTCCTTCATTTGGGGGAGTGAATCATCTTGACAACAGACGATCTTCGGAGTGCACCCTCAGCTGACATAAGCTACAAACCAGGACCGCCGCAGCTGTCAGGCGTATATTTATCCCCTCACCGGCCGGCGTTGCTGCTTTTACTGCTCTTTTCACTTCGGGTATAACTTATTTGAATTTGTTCGCTTGTTTTTCATTTATTCATTTATTTTTTGCGGGATGTTAACATGTTTTGATTCACCGCGCAAGCGATGAACGAAACGAAAGTAGAAGGGACCGGACCGACACCGGCGAAGATTCTGTTGACTTCGGGCTGCCAAGCCCCTTTTGTCGGGCAGGTTGGAGGATGGAGCTGAGGTTAAGCCGGGATGGCAAGCCGTCCGTGTCCTGGTTCCTCCTCAGCCCAGCCCTTTTCTTCTCCCTTCTGGCCGTGCTAGTGAGCTGTCACGGTTCCTGCAAACACCGAGTCCCTTCTCCCAACGAGGTGAGCCTCGGCTGTCTCTGCCACAGCTTAGCTAAACTAGATCTGTAACAGCAGAGGCTAAGCTAGCACGTTAGCTGCGTCGGCTATTTAAGATGGTATTAAATATTATACAGTGTAATAAGACTTTATCGCCTCGGCACGTGGAAAATGAATAGTTGACAATCCCCAGCACGACGTGAAGGACGTGTTTTTGTGATAAGTACAACGAAAGCGTGTTGTTCAGTTGGTTCCTCACTAAGACTTGATGTGCAGTTTGATAGCAAGCTTACAGGCTAACAGTGATGCCACTGTGGTATACAAAGCTTGTACTGTGTTCACTGTACAGCTTCTGTCATGCACATTTAGACTATGAAAGCAGCTTTCAGATCACATGCCACTGTCTATAAATCAGTTTCAGCTGTTCAGCTTCAGCCTTTTCCCCTTTAAACAGCCAAAATGACATCTGGCTAGATTCATTATTTCTTAATTTCTTAATTCAAAATACAGCTGCACTCTGTACCCCAAACATTGTATTCACAGAAGACAGGTATTTTTAACTAAATGTACACAAAACCCATTCACAGTAAAATGGACAGATTAGGTTTTTAATAACTAACTAAAAGGCGAGTTTGTGACTCTCAGTTTTTAGGCATTAAAAAAATAAACAGAAAAGCTTATTGGACGTCGTTTGTAAGGTGGAGCGCTTTACCTATTTTGAAGGTATTTCCAGAATCCTTAAAGACTCTGATCACCAGCATCAAATATAATACTTGCTGGAAGTTGAACTGTGTTTTGAGTATTTCAGTTTCTCAGTTATCATAAACACATTTTTGTACTGCAATTTCTACTCTTGATAGTTGGCATATGTTCCAATACTATACCAATAATAGTTTTGTAAAACACTAAACACATCTATTGTTAGTAGTATTGGTTGATTTAGTTCTCCTCTTATAAATTGCAATTCTCATTTTCTGCTATCCTGTTTCAGATTGTCCACCATGTTTACTTGAAGCCTGAGCGTTTGATTAAGAGAAGCTCTCCAGAAGACCTTCAGCTGAAAATAAAGATCATCTATGACAGCAGTGTTGACCAGTAAGTGCTACAGCAACTCAAAGGATTAAAAAACAAAACAAAAAGCCAAACAGAGCAACTGTCACCATTTTTCTAGCATCCATATGCCAGGTTTGTGTGTGTAACAAGTATGCTCTCCATCCACAGACTTACTGCAGACAAAAGGAGACTTGTGAAGGTGAGGACACACCTGAGCACTTTATACAATAAATGTTTTGTAATAGTTAAAGTCTAACTATAACCTTGTAAAATAACACATCTCAACCACAGAGAAATTGGTATAAATAAAAGTGGAAATTAAGAGTCAACTTGTTGTGGTTTTCCCGATTTTGATTTTTAAGCAGTAAATAGGGTTTTCTGTTAAATCTTACATTCAAAGTCCAGTATCCACAAGAACTGCAACATGAGGACATGATCAGTGGTTTTAACATTCAGCCGTGCCTTCTGCTGTTTGTTTTGGTTCTCAGCTGTGAGGTTCAAGTGCAGCACTCGTGAAAAACATTAGCAGTAGTTGAAGTGATGTCGGATTGGGCTTTGCAGCATTGTTGGCTGTGATCAGAGGTGTAACAGATTGAAAATGTGTTACTCCATGTGTCCCTCTCTAGGATAAGCTCTTTCCTCAGGCCATCGCTTACCTGCAGAGGGCTTTCAGTGTCAGGCGCAGAGTGGGGCCTGTACTGCTCAGCAGGTATGTAGTCCCTGCCGTCACTATTTTAGCTACACATGTGCTCTAATTTTCAGTTCAGTAATCTAAAAGAAAGTATAAAACAATAGTCTAGAGTAATTTAGATTTTTAAATATGTTCCACATACTGTAAGAGGTTTTAAGGTATTTTATTTAAGTAAAAGCATTAATATCAAAGTGTGTGCATATGTATTTTATTTTATTTTTTAAAGAAAGAATGAAACTACAATGACATCACCCAGTGGTTTTGGGATTCTGCCTTTTGAAGACACAACGTTAGCATTTTGTTGCTTGCCATGTAGATTCTTTGGCTCTGTGATCAAATTTGGATCAGAGTGCAAAGTGCTAAGCAGTCAGCTAACAAACACTTGGTCAGAAACCTGCATCCACAAGTTGTGCGGGTGCAATGGGCAAACACAGATAGCTGACAACTGGTGGTAAGTGACAGATTAATAAATACTACAGTGTCACTCACCAAAAACTGTAGCACAAACCTCTTTAATTGGGCTGTTTCATGGATTAAGTCGTGTTATTTGTGTGATGATTTGAAGAAGAGTCACCAAACACACCAAGACCAGTTGACTGAGGCCTAGCAGGTGTCAATTAGCTCCAGTGTAAGCACTCCTATAAATCAAAGCACCCCCTTAATAAAATCCAGATAAGTAATTTAATCAAGTGCTGTGTGTTTATGTTATACTATTTAATTGCCAGAAAGTTGTTTAAATGTTTGTTTCTCTTGGATTTCTGGGAACCACATCTGTGGTTATATTTAATTAACTGTTTCTGTTATCTCAGACAATGTGCAACCAACCAGTACATGAGGAAGAGAGATGACCCTCATCGCTACTGCCAGGACGCCTGTGCAAACCTTACACGATGTGGGCCCGTCATTGTACCACAGCACCACCTGCAGGTCAGAGCGTGTATAGATAGATTACTGATCACACACGACAAGGACTCTAGCCTTGCTAGCAGCTGTTTTCTGTTTTTATTTGGAACATATGAAGTGTTAATTCATTGCTAATTAACATTAAAATATTGACCAAGCATGCATTGACCAAAATGTATATAATGTTACTGCTGTAGTTGAATTCTACAGATAACACATAACCAGACAGTGCTGTTGACCATTTTCCCCATGATTTAAAAAAAATTCTGACCAACTTTTAACCGACAGTGTTTTTATGCTAAGATGTGAACACTGTTGTCCATCCTCACTGGTTCAGTGTGCTCTCTGCTCACTCCAATGTCGTGTTTCTCTTCTAGCAATGCAAGGTGTGCAGTGAGTCTGGGAAGTCATGTGGCCCTACAGGGCCCCCAGATGGGCCTGGAGTCGAAGGGTCCGATTTTGTGCTGTACGTCAGCGGTGTCACCACAGAACGCTGTGGGCAGGAGAACATAGTGGCCTATGCTGCTTACTGCCAGCTGGAGGCGGAGCTGGATAGGTGGGAGGATAAAAACCTTACTTAGTGTTAATTTAAAAAATAAACTAAAAATACAATCCAGTCTTTAAATAAAGTCTCATTTTTTTGCTTAATAAGCAATGAACTGTCATTTTGGTAACAGAAATAAATCAAACTGTCAGAATATCACAGTATAAACTAATGTTTGTCAGGGTGTTTTTCCTTTTAGACCTATAGCAGGCTACGCCAACCTGTGCCCTGCTATGATCTCCTCTCAACCTCAGGAGTTTGAAGGGATGCTGTCCACAGTCAAACATGAAATCATCCACGCTCTGGTCAGTACCACTTGTCATTGCTGTTGAGCTTCCCGTGGGTGAATTAGGTTCACACAGATTGCTCAAAAGACATTTTTGAACCATATTTTCGTAGGCAGATTTTTAACATTTGAATACATTTGGAGATGCTTTACTGTTGACCAACAACAGTTTGCCAAAGCTGAACTTAAAAGCTAAAAATTGATGTGGGTTTATTTTTACCTCGTGAGCATATTAATAAAAAATGCAAAATTTTGCCCAGAAGATGTGCTGCTATAAATATTCTTGTAATTTGGTGCTAAATAGACTCTTGTTGAGTAATTTGTTCATGTGTGAAATCTGTCACTGACTGGAGTTTCTCCTTACGTCCTCTAGGGGTTTTCAGCCGGTCTGTTTGCTTTCTACCACGATGATGAGGGCAAACCTCTGACTCCTCGTTTTGCAAGCGGCCTGCCCGCCTTTAACGAGAGGTGATTACACTATATGTAATGGTCATCTATGATTTCCAGTGTTCAAGCTCTAACTTCTAATCCTATACCTGTGCATCAGTCTGGGTCTGTACCAGTGGAGCGATGCAGTTATCAGAAGAGTCACCAGACTGTGGGACATCAGAGGAGGCGTGATGGTCCGACACCAAGTGCATGTCCTTGTCACTCCTCGTGTTGTGGTAAGAAGCTTCAATATTAAGAAAACTGGTAACTCTTCTGTTTATGTGAGTCTAGAAAAAGATCATGTACTGTCATTTTGCACCTCTTAGCTGTAGTTTTGACTGTGCTTATAAAAACAATTGTTTTACAAAGATTTATATACACCAGGAGTTGTTGAAGGAATGTAATATATAGGTCTGATTAGAAAGAATGGACAAACTTGAACCTATGAGATTGTTATTGGAGGCCAGTTTAGGTGTTATAGTTGATGTCAAGTAATAACTAAGTAGTATGTGTCTTCCTTTCTGTTTCCAGGAGGAGGCGAGGAAACATTTTAATTGCCCCATCCTGGAGGGGATGGAGCTGGAGAACCAAGGAGGGACAGGAACCGAACTAAACCATTGGGAAAAGAGACTCTTAGAGGTCAGCACATGTTTTCTCGTGGCTTTTTGGTAGCCAGTAGTTTGGGCTTCTCCGTTGTGTTCATCCATTTATTTATTTATTTTTCTCATTCATCCCAGAATGAGGCAATGACGGGCTCCCACACTCAGAACCGAGTATTTTCTCGGCTGACGCTGGCTATCATGGAGGACAGCGGATGGTACCGCGCCAACTACAGCCTGGCTCAGAGGCTGGACTGGGGTCGTGGTCTCGGCTGCGACTTTGTCATGAAGAGCTGCAAATTCTGGATGGACAAGCAGAGACAGAGGTCACAGAAACACAAACTCTGTGTCAAACAGAGTTGAAGTTTTTTTTTTTTTTTTTTTGCTATTTTTTTCCCTCATGATCACAAAGCTCATGCTTTTAGTTTGAAGCTGGCACCAATGGTTGAAAAAATGACCAAGTTTAACACACTGAAAAAGGGGCATATGTATATGTTACAGATAAATTCTGTACTGTACCAGGTACCCACAGTAATGGCATATCTCACTAGCAGCATTTATCATGTACTTGTTGTTGCAGAAGACACGCTGTAACTCCGTACTGTGACACAGTGCGAGCCTCTCCTCTGCAGCTCACCTGCAGACAGGATCAGCTGGCTGTGGCTGTGTGCAACTTGCAAAAATACCCACAAGAACTGCCACTTAAGTACCAGGTATGCAAGCCCCCCACCACTACCAATATTGATATGTTTGTGAGTGTTCTGCTGAAACTAGTGGATGTGTTATTTATTTTTTTTCTTATATAAAATGCCTGACAAGGTTATTTATAGCTACCACACAGTGCTGTATGTGCAGGTTACAGTAAGCTCTGCTGTGTTCAGTGAGTGTGCTGTGGGTAACTATATGTGCTGTGTCAGTATTTTGAGCGGATCCCTGACGTGGCTGCTGATCAGCTGTCGTTCTTTGGGGGTGCTGTGGAGATCGCGGACTACTGTCCATTTAGTCAGGAGTTCAGCTGGCACCTCAGTGGAGAATACCAGAGAAACTCCTACTGCAGAGTGTCTGAGAACCAGCCAGGTACTGCTTATACTGCTGTTTCTACTGCTGCCTTTAGTCTAGTGCTGTTTTAAATCAAACTCTGTGAACAGCTGTAGTACAGGGAGGGAGGTTAGAATAGTTTCCTAATATATTTCTTATTCTTCTGTGCCTTAAACGCAGGTCACACACACACACACACACACACACACACGATTATTTAAAAAAAAAAATGCAAAGAAACCACTCACTAGACTAATTACAGCGATTACCTTTACTCTTTCAAGTATTGAATTTCAAAAAGCGACTTCATATAAAGATGCATAAGATGATACTAAAGCTCCTTAGGACTAGAACTACTCCTGGTTTGGACACCTTAAGGCCCTTTCACATAGGACACGGCACGTGCAGCAAGGAGTACTCACAGTCAAGTTCAACTTTGAACTTTGACCACTGTTTTCAGTGGCCAGATCAGACAGATGCATGGTGTTCATTTTTAAGTAATTTTATTTTTATTATAATTTTCAATAATTTTTCAATAATTTGTTAAAATCAAAAAGAGCTTGACAGAGAAGTAGCTCACCACCATTTAGCATAAATCCATAAGAACACATGTCTGCCCAGTTTCACTGTCAGGAACGTGAAACCTACTCTGTCATAGGTGTGACTGAGAGCTCATCAGTAAAGACGGTGGTCCCCACCCTTTTTTTGCTCCATGGACCGGTTTAATGTCAGACAATATTTTCATGGACAGCCTTTAAGGTGTCTCTGATAAATACAACAAAATAAAATGATACGACCAAGACAAAAACTGTGGTATTTTGTAAATATAATAATAAACGCCAACTCACTGTGTAATTGTGTTACTTTATTAGCAGCGTCTTCCTGAAATGTGCCAACAACATGGAGAGTAACATCCTCCTCTCTGCCACTTAATGCTCTCTGGTCGCTATGGTAATGCGTAAATATTTCTTTCAAAATAAGATGCACAACTATAATACGGAAAATGACCCAGGGAAACCGAATTAACGATAAAAACCCCGAAAACCATAAATTTCACACCCGAGCCTCAACTCTCGTGGTCCGGTACCAAACAACTCACAGACCAGTACCGGTCCATGGCCCGGGGGTTGGGGACCACCGAGTAAAGACATTTGGAGGAATCCTTGTTTAAAATCTGTTTTGATCTGCTGTTGTTGATGCTGTTTCTATGAAATATGTGAGCTTTCTATCTGTGGTTTTCTCTGTTTGTTCAGACTGGTGGAGAAATTATGGAGCAGAGCAGTATGGACCAGACTCTGTGTGTCTGTACCAGAAATCAGCCTTTGTGATGGAGCAGTGCACTCGGAAGATGACGTACCCTGACTGGGGCTCCGGATGCTACAAGGTGCTGACATGTACATATACTTATTTATGTTTCTGTGAATTTTTAAGATCCCCTTTACAGCTCAGTGGAGAAGGTGACATCTGTAGGTTGAGACTTTTACCTTCTAGAAATCTGTAGATAGGGCTGTTCAATATAACGATATATATCGGATGATGATATAAAAACGTCTATCGTTTCATTTTACGCTATCGTTTGTTTCGTGGTGTCTTAAATAAACAGTTTACAGCAATATTTTTTTTTCATCGTTTTGATGGTCACGGTAGTGGCTATATTAATTTCTTAAATTATTTCTTAATTTCTTTCTCTTATATTTAATATAACCACACTACAGACAGACAAGGGGCTGTTTTTACGTGCTGTTATTTACAACGACGGTAAAACCGTCGCGTGGCTCCGCGTGTTTGTTTTCCACGTACACCTTTCACAATAAAGCTCAAGATCCTGTTGAGACTTTTCAAAATAAACTGAATCACAGGAAAAAGTATGCAGAGAGTTTACGGATGAGAAGGGAAAAAAAAAAAAAAGCCGTCAGGTGCTAAAAAATAAACCTTAGACTCAAACTTTGAAAGAAAATGGTGGCCGTTACAACTTATGTCTTATGTCATGCATCGGTTAAAACACTCGAATCCAGCTACATGACGTCCAGCTGGAAAAACTTCATGCAAGTCGAGTTGCCAGAGATTCACAGAATTTACAGAAAATATTACATTTTTGTGATTTATATCCTTGTCAGGACGATAAATGTCTCATATCGGGATATGAGATTTTTGTCATATCGCACTGCCCGATCTGTAGATTTTAATTTTATTTATGTATGACAAACAGATTAATAGTTCAGGTTAAATAAATTAAATCCCTTTTTGTTGTCCCAAACTGCTTTAGTGGGCTCTCAAAAGGTTTTTATACAAAGGGAAAAAAAATCCCTAATAAACTTAGAGAAATGAGAGGAAAGTGCATGTCGCTGTGTGTTTTGGGTCTGTGTCACACCCTCTCTGTGCTGCAGGTGTCGTGCTCAGCTCAGGGCCTCATGGTGTTCGTTCAGGATCGTTCCTTCCTCTGTGTCCGTAAAGGTCAGCTGCTGAGCATCAGCGTACGCGTTAACGAGTGGGTTTACAACGGTGTCCTCATCTGCCCCGCCTGCACCGACTTCTGTGATGACTGCCCCCTACCCTACCATCTCCCACCCATCAACACCTCCAGGAGCAACCCAATTGGTCAGTCAGTGGACCAGCTGATTTAAATGCTTCTCTTCCTGTCCCATGGTGAAGCTGTCTGCCTTTTAGATTTCAACTGATGGTTGAATGAAGTTGTTTAATGAGTGAAGAAATGGGAAAAGATATAAATGAGAACAAAGTAAAGAAATCTGTGAGGAAAGCACTGAAAGGGAAAGATAAAACTTAAGATGTATGTATAATTAAATACTCAATGTGTGTAGAATATAATTCTGTTATGTAAAACAAACATGATTTGATAGATGTTATTTTCTGTCTTTCTTTTAGATCCATGCTCCAGTTCTCCAAGTTTGGCCACCACTCTGTGGCTCCTGCTGCTCAACCTGTTTCCTCTAGTGGCTGGACTGCTGCTCTGCCACTGCAGCTGATAAAACACACACACACCAAACACACCAAGGTAGCTGAACAGTCCTCTATACCATAGTCACTTGAGGACTTGGACTGCAGATGTTTTTCCTCTTTGTTTTACTCATTACCTCCTCCTTCCTTCCCTTCCGCACTTGCGTTCCTTTCTTTGCCATTCTCAGCCTGTTTTCTCCTTTTGTTCTGTGGCTGCATCCTCATGCATCTCTCAGCACAGTCAGGTATCCTTTTGCTGAAGGTCCATTCAGTTGTCCCTCACCAGATTTACATGCACTTAAGTAATCAGGTTATAGCCAGCTTTCATTTGAACAGGATTCATCTGACTGACACACACAGCCAAAACTCTGTCAGTTATCAACATGGAAAGCAGCTAAATGGCAGCTAATACTGTTATTTGTGGGCGAATTATTGGCAAAAAGAGCAAGTTGGATCGACAGGGACCATTTTTATGGCAGAGCAATGGAACATGAAAAATAAGCAGTGTAATTTGTCCTTTTCAGTGAGGCAGGGATTACTCACATTACATATACTCAGAATGCACTAACACCACTTTTTTATTATCAAGACCATGATACATATATGTACTTACAATACACCTATTATTGTTGTTGTTGTTAATATTGTTATTATTATTATTATTATTGTTATTATTATTGTTATTATTATTATCAACAACAACAACCTCTTCGAAACAAAAGTCTAGCATGATAGAAATAAGTTTTTGTATGTAAAAAATAATGAATAAAAAGCCAAATATTTGCAAATTTTAGCATCTTGTATTCAAAGATCTGCTTATTTCTCATGTTTTCACACACAGGGTTTAGTGCAAAACGAGACATTGATCAGTAGGTTTCATATACTAATCGATTAATGAACAGTAATTTAAGGTTATTTTAGGATTAAGAATTTTAAAGTGATTTTATAATGAATCATTTATGTAATTTGAAATGAAATTTGTCAGCCCTTTTATAATAATTGACCAGTTGTTACTACAGCTTGCTTTTCAGATGGTCAGCTAACATATCCAAAGTTGTAATAGTATAATATTGTTTTGTGTACACTTGAAATTGTATTCACAGATATTTTTAAGGACGTCATTGAATGTTTAACCAGGTTACTGTATATATGTTTAATATGTTTCTGATTTCTGCTGGAACCAGGTTGCTTGCGGTGATTTGGTTACTTAAGTGCATGAAAATGGTTAATTTAATTCAGCATGTAGAGTGTCTGCAGCATCATTATTCCCTAAAAAAACACATTTTAGTTCTGGACACTTGTTTATTTTCAATTTTTTTTGTTTTTTTTTTTTTTTTTTTACTGTGAGCTGTGGAAACCTGATAGATTCACATTGGTTTCTGCCTAAATTTCACAACTTTACTTCAGCTTTGGGATCATCGTACTTCGTCAGATTCCTTTTTCTTACAGTGTAGTGATGGAAGCGGGACGTCTGTATTTTTTTAGCTGATCTCTTCAAACTAATTTCAAGATTGTGACAAACTGACTGTCGATCGACAATACCACAATGGTGCAAACTACCTGCAAACTTCTTCCTCTTAACTGAAACAACACGAGGCTCTGTGCAGTTTGCTGACCTCTGGTGGCAGCAGAAGGTAACTGTTCAAAGTTTTTTAAGCTTACAGGATCTTTTATGCTGAAAACTCTTTCTGTAAATATAAATATGAGACCGGACAGGAATATGGTGGAAGGACTTCCCCTGCCACCTCCTGACAGGTCACTTGAGCTTAAATTCATTACCTCATTTTCTTCTAAGAGTCATTTTATCCTTATTTAAGATATGTAGCTGTTCAGATGTAGGTATGGATCTTCTTTGGAGTACAGATTGATAATGTTGATGATCGTTTCTCTCTACATGATGAGCTCAAGCGTTTGCATTCAAGGCCTTTGCTTTTTGCAAGTAGAAGTTTTGCTGATGACGATGCTGTACATTCACTTTACTATAATTATTTTCCAACCTCACAAATATATAGGAATTTATTTGTTGTAAAAAGCAAATGAATTTTCTGTTGTTGTTTTGTTTTTTTGATAATCAGTCAACTCAGATTAACACCTTAACAACTCAGATTGCCAAGTCTGCTGCTGCTGCAGCCACTTAAAGGCTAATAGGTTGGAGATTAAATGGTGGAAGGTCTTTACTGAGGAGTAATATCTAAAAAATGTTTCCCACAGGTTTCATTTCATTGTGTCCTCAGCAGGGCCAAAACCCAGCAACGTTTCCGCAAATGAGTCCACTGACATTTCAAAAGCACAAAGCTCTCAAATTTCCTCCTGAGTTCAAAACCAAGACTGGATTTGTCCTCGTTCCATTGGTCTTATAATTACGTGACTGCTTATTTCTGTTAATTATTGGCCAAAAATTACAAACCAAATGGCCTGTTTACAGTTCCCGGCTTAGGTGGTGATGCAATGAGCTAAACTAAGATTTGGCAGGAATCCAGTGGTGCTTAAAATCATAAACCTGCTATGGAAACACTTTCACTGTTTAAATACAGATTATAATGTTTGGCTCTTTGTTTCTGTAATGACGGGCACTCTTTCTCTCAGCAGTTCATACATTTGTTGGATTAGCGATTGTTTTCAGTTTATGGCCCAGAGTAAGAAGGGCTCCTACATTTGTGGTTCATTAAACTCTTTTGCATGAGCCAATTGAGAACAGCCTCTGAAGCCACAATGGCAATGCTTTAGGTTAAAAGTGCAAATTTCTGTTTGTTTTTTGTGGTGGGGAGTGGTGTGGAGAATGAATGTCTGAAATAATGATTCGCTCCTTTTTTCCAATGAATCTGCAATGTTTTTCTCTTATTTATGCAAAAACAAACAAAGACACAAAACAAACTCAAAATGACACAAAATTATTAACAAACTTATTATTAACAAATTTTTGATTACCTTAAAAAGTACGTTGAGACACAATTCTACCAGTTCAGTGAGGAGAGAAGAACAATAAAGACACACAAATGACCTTCCATAGAAAACAAAAACCTATAAAATCAACACACAGAGATGCAAAATAAGCACATGAGCATGCTAAATGTCTCCAATAGTGGAAACGTGACCATGAAAGCCCTGAAAATGTTTTGAAATGAGATGCAAGTTAAAATTGCAAAGAAACTGTGTGACTTGCACATAAATTTAAGTTGGTAGCGTGGGTACAAAATAATTTTCGGACCGTAATGAAAAGAAAATAATTCAGCACTCAAAGAAAATATAATCTAACATTAAACAACTTGGTTTAGTGATTGATGTTAATAATCTGGCTCATTTCCTCGACTAATGGAGCTCATTACATTCATTTAAGACTGACTTTGCATTTCTGTGTTTGCACTAAAAGAACTGGCCTTAATGTGCGGGGATGTCTCTGTTTGAAAGCTGATGCCAGGAGAGGTTTTATTTATCTGAAGCCCACAAATGACGTTTGCCACCAGGTCGGTCATGCATGTGTGTCTGTGTTGTGTAAGAATGTTTTAATTGATAACTCTGTCAGTAATGTGTCTGGGAACATGATTTATATGATGTAAGTGTTTCGAGTCATGCGCTGTAGAGTTTGTGTCGTTGGTGTTAGTCCTGTGCAGACCTGACCTCAGTTTACTTTGATCATGTTAAAAGTGAATTTCAGCTAAAACTGACTGAACTGTAAGAGTTTGTGATTTGCTTTTACTTGTTTGAAATTACTGTTCAATGTGATGACTGAACTTGCACTAAGTTGAGGGGGGAAGAAAAAAATCAGATCCCATGTCAGTGTTGGTGAAACACGCAGAAATGTGATGCTTCTGTTTCCAGTTAATTTTATGCAGTGATGAGGCTGTTGAGAAAACAGCCGATCTTTTCAGTGAGACACTTTGTGTTACTAAAATTATCTTTGTTATATTTATTTTATTTTTTAGGAAAAGGGCTGCTTTGTAAGACAAATCAAGACTTTTGTCTCAGAATAAAAA